TTAATATTTGAAGAACTAATGGACCTGCTGTAGGTGCATGTTTATTTACACCAACTCGTTTGATTTCTGACAAGAATAATATTAAAAACATGTTTATACAAATAATAAAAGCTTTAACAACACAACCACTTGAAACTTTTAATTTTAATGCAGACAGATTTTTATTTAAAATGTWTTCCTTTCTTTCACTTCATCCGCCATTACAAGCAGGAAGAAATCTTCGGTTGGCCCGCAATGCATTATGGGATATGGTGGCCCGAGAAGAATCCATCAAACCAGTCCTTCAATTTGGAGCAAAAGGAAATTGTGTTTGTTGGCCGCATCAGAGGAGTCTCTGAATTTGGACAGACTTGTGATGTAAACGGCCGACAAATTCGGTCTTCTCCTGAATTTGGACACAACCAAAGTTTTGGAGAAGACCCACACTGCCCCCTTTCAGATGTGAAGAAATGGTTCATATGCTTTGGAACATTGAGGTCCAAGACCAAAGTCCCTGAAACCCATCACAGTAGACTCCCACATAAAAACCATCGAAATGTCGAAAACTTGACAAACCAAAAAAGTCTTCTGGAGAAAAGGTTATAAGTTTGTTCCAACTGTCAAGCACGGTGGTGGCAGCATCATGCTGGGGTTCAGATTGTATGAAACATATCCATCTCAAATCAAACCAGCTGGGTGGTTGGAACTAGTTTCTGATTGGATAAATCATGCTAACATTTAGCTTCTGGRCTGGTTTTCTAAAATCTCGACCCAAACCTGTAGAAAACTTGTAGACTTTGGTTAAAAGCCAGCTCAGTGCCAGCAGTTTAATAAACTCCAAGAAGAAGAAGAGAAAAGTTCTTTTATCTTTTCTTATTTTAGTCTCCTCCGACTTCACAACCTCACTATGAAATCATCTCTGCACGTTTATTTTCAGCTTTCTTCAGTCTTTGTTGTCCGTTTMAGCTACTTTTGGTTTGTACAGGAGGAAGTGGCTTTCAAGGAGGGGATGTTGAAAACAGGCAGACACAACCACACAATGCTCTGCATATCATTTAGCTGTAAAACCACACACACACACCCCTCCTCCCCCCGTTCAGAGGCTAATAACTCACTGTGTGCTCCGTCAGCTGGCAGTAATTTGTTTTAATAAAGTTCTCTAAAAAKAGACAAATATAGCTGCTGTTTCATGGAGACAAAAAGCGTAACTCTGCAGTTATTTCAGTCAAATGAAGTCATAACAAAAATCAACAAGTCGTGGTCTTAATATTTCGTCCGTTCAGTGGAAAGAAAGGAATTAGACCCTTTCAGCCTCACCCTTTTGGCAGCGTCTACATCCTGCTGCTTGTCACTTTTTACCCAACACCCTGTCCTCACTTGGAGCACATAAACGCCTCGCTATTACCTGCTCTGTTTTCCTTCTCGACCCGAGTTCGAGAGGACCGGGGCGAAGAAAAGCAAAGCCCTCGACTGCGCGAACACCGACGTATAAAGGCCGCATTGTTGGCGGAGGAAAGGCCGGCACAGATATAATTAATCATCTCGTATGTTTGTCTTTCCTGACGCTGCATCCTCTCCAAACGCTGCCAGAAGAGGGAAAACAAAAATATACGAGGCGATGAGAGAGGGAAATAAAGACGGTTATTAGACTCATTTCCCTTTTTGCAATGGTTTCCAGTGGTTGGATGATATCGTGGTGATTGAACTCAATGATTTGATGTTTTTTTTTAAAAAAAGCGGAAGTTGGCTGGATGGAGTCGTTTGTTTTCATCTACTGAAGGTGACGACAAAATCCTTAACAGACCTTTATGATGCTGCCGGCCGCTGCTCTGATAGGTTTTTCAGAAGAACTTCTTCTAAACTAGAAGCACTTGGAGAGTGCAAACCTCCACCAAGACCAATTTCCTCCATCCTGTAAGAGTTAATGCACAAAAGCAGAGATGGAAACACATTTGCTGAATAAGTTCTGACGTAGTGAACATTTAAGCAGCAGTATGCACGGGATTTCTTCTCGGTGGAGTCCAATGTAAAAAAAAAAGTCAGACTCGTCACCTGACGTTATTCATGGTCAAACAGGTGTGGGATTAAGCTCCTAAGTTTCCATCAGTCACATTTCACCATGTAAAATGTCTGTTTTATCCCCTTGTATGAGTTTAATGGTTTGACTCTCTTTATAAAGTGCTTCCTGGCTCCCCCCGTCTCCAAACTTTGAGGCCCGGCAGCTCTCTGTTTACAAGCCTAGTAGAGACAAACTGTTTTGATTGGTTGTTTCGGAAATGTGGTGTGTTTGAGGAAATGGGAAAAATAGGTTTCATGGTGCAGTCACGCACTTCCGGGTCACAAAACGTTTTGT